ATAGACATATAAACTCATCCAGTTCACATCTCCCAGTGGTTTTTGCTATTGAGCAATGAGAATAAAAATCAATGAATTATGCAGGATGGTTTCTCAGTGTTAAATTTGTTCATACTTGGTCCTTAATTTGAAGTGCTAGGTGAAAGTTCACCTTCTCTTGCTAATTGATTTTTATCACGAATGTGATGAAAAGTACTTGATAGAAAGGGTAAAACACCATGTCAAAAAAAAAAAAAAGGTAGCATAAGCCAAGGCAGCACCAATTCATCTTGTCTTACTTTTCAAGTACCTTTAAGCTTGCCCATGGGGACTGTCTTCAGGAAATGAGTTCAGAATCCATACCAATTACATCTTGGCTTCTCTATATCATAGCATGCCAATTTAAGATTTTAAAGGTAATAGATTTGTGATAATACCTGCACATTCAAAATTAAACCCATTCAAACAATTTATTTCAAAAAGGCTTCTGAACAAAGGACAAATGGTAAGGACTACTGATTGGTGCTGGAATGGTTTGATCTAGAAGTTGAAAGCCTCCACTTCCATATTTGCAAACTGGGACCTTCATTTTAGAAGACGTGTTAAATTAGGTACTCACCCTGCTTGCTTGCTAAAATACTCGCTATTTCTCGAGGAAAGGAAAAAAGAGGAAGAAGGCAGTGGAGAAGGAACAAGCAGCCCTTGTCCTGTGCTTTCTTGTAAAACTTTTTTTATTGTGATGTTTCACAGAATTATCATGTAATTTAAATGTATTGGCATTCCCTTGAGTTCAGCATCACAAAAGAATAATGGCAATGTCTACGCACCACTTACATCTCACTGCAGCCATATTTAGTTTCTCTGGGCTTTCAGAAATAATTTTTGCCAGTAAGGCTGTTTCTATAGGATATCAAGAACAGTCCCTTCATCTCAAATCCTTCTGTTGTTCTATCACCTTCCACTTCTCTCCTCTTAACCTCTGCCCATTTCCAAACTCCAGTAATTAGAACCACATTGTAGAATATGATTTTACGTCCCCTGATGTCCTACTTACCCTCAAAGGAAAAATATAATCAAGAAATTTAATTATAATCAAGTCCTGAATCATTTTACACATATAAAGCAGGCTACACTACCATAAAAATACGCATATAAGCTGTACAAACAGAAGTTTAAAAAATACCTTAGGCATGCTTTTATTGATGCACAGAGATGCATTTGAGAACCCTTCTCACGCTTCGTCAGTATTATGTATCTACAGTGTCATCCTGAAATGATGACAAGCAGCGGTACTTAGACCTGGCAAATTTCCCTCACTGAGCCTTTGACACACAACTGTCTTCCATTGTGCATCCTTTCAACAACTCAGATCTCATACATGATTGTACAGGGTTGCACTGTGCTGTCCCCTGCCCTTGGTATCCGCACATGCCAGAGAAGGCTACAGAGCAGAGCTGTGAGGACCAAGGACCATGAATGAAACCTATGACACTATATACTGCTGCCACATGTGTGCCATCAAGTAGGACTACACTCAAAGGAGCACTGTTAAACACACGCTTCCCATACGTAGTCTCACAAAACAGTATCTATTGTATGACATGATTCACGGCATCTGACTGTTCATCAGTCACGCACCTATGTGGGCATTGGGTGAGACAACAGTTATGTTATGCATGAGAAAAAAGGATACTTGAGAGACACGTACACATTAATTGAGCCTATAAACCCAGGCACAGACTGAGATCCTAATGTATTGCGCACTACACAAACACACTTTGTCAAACTATCCTGGCAGAGTATTTATGAGGGATGCAGTTCTCCAATATATCATAATCATTTTGGTTTTAACCTTCATCTTCTGTTTCACGGTACGACATCATGAACAGGTGTACTGGCACAACTGGAGGGTAGGTGAATTCCAGCAAGGCAACAAGAATAAGAAGCTGAAGGCAGAAATCTCTTAAGCTGAGTGTGCAAGTCAGGGAAGTATAACATGTAGCTACCTGAACTCTTTGGACTAAAAAATGTCCCATTTTAGTGTTCTAAATTGCTAGAAACTTATGTGACCTCATAAAAGAAATAAAAGAAATTAAAGAAAATCCTTTTGTTGCTCAGAGTTTCATTGCTTTCCAGTAATGTTAGTTGTGAATATTCAAAATTCATTAGAGAAGAAACCATCTTTTTAACCTTCCTTTTGATGGTTACATACACAAATACAACAAAATGTAAAGCTGTAAGAATATCTTTTAGAAAAACATCAAAAATCCTTCTTCCATCCAAGAAAAACCTACCAAAGCCCACCTATTTTTTAGCTAATGGTTAATATAACCAGATTTGCCATACTTTAGGACTTTACAGAATAAAAATCTAACACATAACACATTCTAACTTCTAAATAAATATCTGATCTCCTATACAGTCAAAATTTTATTCTTGGACACCTGAAAATATGGAAAGCTCTGTAATATTTACTTGCACTTTCCATCTTTCATAATTACTTTGAGATAAATTTACCTCAAGTACTTAGCAACTCTAAAGAAGCTGTAAGTGATAACTCTTTAACAGATCAACTACGTACCAGTCCAAAAAGTCAGGCAGAAAAATGTAGCACTGACTTTTCTCAAAATTCTTATGCACCCCAAATTATTTAAGTTACACTTGCTTAATATCATTTGCATATCTCCATAGACCTAAAACAAAGTACAGAGCACCTTGTATGAAATCACCCAGCTTCAGTGTCCTGTTCTGCTGGTGGACAAGAACAGGCTATTCACGGTGTGTCAGGAAGCCCCAGACCTATGTATGTGGTATGACGTGACCCACATAGAGTAACTTATAGTATTTTATTGGCACTAATAAAGACGAAGGGAAAAAGACATCAAATTTAGGACTAGATCTTCAGTATGCTTCCTCTATAGGGTGATGGAGGAGATAGCAAAGCAAAGGGGGCATTTCGCAGTAGTAACACATCTATTTGCCCACTGGGTCAAAAAAGATGGCTTTGTATTCCCAAAAAAGTTTTTGTGAGCATGGAGCTTGGAAGTAAATCTCACTTAGCCACTGTTAAGAGCTGTATGTTAACTGACTTTCAGCATACATGCAATAAGGAAACAAAATCTCTTTTATCACAAATCCTTGGTTCACCTTGAAGAGCCCATATAAGAACTAGACTCAGCAACAGGCCTACATTCAGGACTGTGGTGAACTATATAGCAACCTAGGAAAGTTGCAGAGAAGGGAGCAAAGGGAACTCCCTTAGGCAAAAACCCTCTGGTACCTCTCCTTTCTGAAGAATGAGAACACACACAACCCCAATCCAACAAAGCACTAACCTTTGTCGTAATAAACCCCTAAAAGACCATACTGGGGAATAAACAGGGAATTAATATTTGAAATCCATCCTTCAATCTGCCATACTAAGTTCTGTTCGGTAACTAAGATGTGAAAGCTAACAAGACTAGAAAGCATTATAATAGCAATAAGGTAATGCATTTGGCTTCCTTCCAGACCATTCTGCCTTCTCTCCAGGCCAGCCCAATTTATTCAGCTTCAGTCCAGAAGAAAATATCCTTATAAATATCAAACTTGATCTCAAATAATGAGCCCTGCTAAGAGGTGAAGCATATCATTCTGCACAGAGCTGCACCAACACAGATCAAAGCTGGCTTGATTGAGTCTGTTTGGAGAACAAAGGAGCTGCAGCCTGCCGAGACACCAAGCCGTCCCACCAACACCGAAACACCAAGCTATCCCACCGACACCAAGACACTGAGCTGTCCCACCAACACCAAGACACTGAGCCGTCCCACTGACACTGAGACACTGAGCTGTCCCATAAACACCAAGACACTGAGCCATCATTAACCACCTTCTGCTCTAGGAAGAGCCTGGGCTGGGAAGCCTCTTTGGGCAAGGACAGCTTTGAACTGCTGAAGCCAGTTGTTTCTTGGAGCTTTAGCATTAACTACAACTTTTAAGACTAGGGTTAAGGACTACTCTCTTCAGAAAGCCTGAAACAGAAGTTGTTAATTCTCCTGTTTTCAGAAGCTTTCAAAGAAGATTTCCAGCAAACCACAATCCAAACACAAGCTGAAATGGCCATAAACATTTAAGAAAAGACTAATTTATTGCTTAACTATACCCTGCTCTGAGATAAAGCGCAGTAACCTCATCTTATTTTTAAACAGACTGGCTATTGTTTTCTTGCTTGACTGGCGCTAAAGGAAAATATGTTTCACTGTGTGGCCTAAAGACAGATCCTATTAAGCACAGTTAAATATTTATTATTTTGATCTACATGTTACAGACAAAATGCCTGATCTTAAGGCACAGCAATAAGAGTGGAAAGGTCTAAAACGCTGGCTCCTTTTGTGTCTTGCAATGTCAAAAGATATCTTTTCCTACAATACCCTCTGGCAACATCAAACACACACAAGGATATTTCCACTAATTGTGGGCTACATATCACATAAAGATCGATCCTGCAATAATTTCCAGTGTGAGAATTTTCAATGAGCACGCGGAAAAACCCAACTTCAGTCAAGATTTTCCTCTAAATAACTCAGATTTCTGGCACAGAGTTCCAATTATCCTTGGAGCCATTTTTGAAGTGCAAAAGAAAGGAGGAAAATGGGTTAATTCCAAGGAAAAGCTTCTTTATGGGGAAGAAACATGAAAAAAAAAATTGTAGGAACAATACTTTTTACGTAATTTCTTTAACATTAATATGTTTACCCAGGTTTTTAATTAGCAAGGAAGACTGAGAAAGCAGACACCTTATAATATCTGAGCCAGCTTATTTAGCTCCTGTTGTGTAAAGTACCAGAACCGGCACCGTCAGTGTACCTCCCAAGGAGCTGGCAACAGGCTGACTTGCAATTCCACAAAACTGGGATGCCAGGCTGAGTTCCTTAAATCTCAGAAATGTCTCGCTTACTTAAAGCTCCGCTCCCTGACTTATTCTTTGGGGTTTTTCACTTGGGTTGGGTCACAGGTCTTAAGAGTCCTAGATGACTGACCTCTTCTAGTTGGCAGGCTTTGATGACACTCTTGTATCGGTATTCATCATAGGATACACCAAAAATTATGTTTTCTTTTATTGTTCCAGGCATGATCCAGGAGACTTGAGGTGAAAAGGATATCCTTCCACTGTGTTTAATTTTACCCTGCGAAGGCTCCAATTCTCCCATTATCAACATCAGAAGAGAAGTCTGAAAAATCATTAACACTTGGTTAATATATCAGAGATCTGTACAACCATAAGAAATGCTAAACAAAATGAGAGTCACTCCGCTAAGTCACTTAAATGGTACATTCATCCTGTAAAGAGTGTCCCTATAGGTACTGATCTAGTGCAAGCTACAATTAGTGGAGATTTTCATGATACGTGTGGTTTTGAAAGGCCTCTGAAATGAGAGAAACTCCATTCAATGAACAATAAAAATTGTGTAAGATATCTTGTGAAAAAAGCATGCTGCTGCAAAAGTATGTTTTTTTAATTAAAATTCCAGTAATTTTACAAGGTAAAAATGTGAGTATCTGAGAGACACATACAGACATAAAATAATAGTATTTATGGAGAACGTTATTTGATTTTTAACATTATCAGTGACTATTTTGTTTGTTCTTTGTACAACACAATTCATGTTTACAATTTTGCTAGTGTTCACAAGCCTTTTATCTGTATTGCCTTGAAAAATGCAATTTCTTTATGTATGTGTATACAATTACTCACAAACTGCTCGGTGTGATCTGAATTTTCCTCTGTAACTGTTAACTCATTTACGTGAATACGTGACCTAAGTATATTTACTATTTCCCTTCATAAAAGAATTGATTGCAATTTCAGTACTGACATGTTATAATTTCAAAGTTAATCAGTAGCTTGTAGTAACCTTGTCACACATCACTGGCTACTAGATCAAAGAATAGAATTGAGAAATACAAGGAAAAATATGTTACAGAGCCATTTCAGCGGTGTTCTTATCACTAATAAACAGTCAACAAAGCTGGGACGCAACAGCCAAAGATCTAAAAATCTGTCTAAGTCACAGTTTCATGCTGTCAAGCCCAGAGATCCTTTGACAAGTTATACAATATGTGGGGGGAGACTCACGAAATTCTTTCCATTATACCAGAATCTAAATTTTCCAAAATGCTGAGTAAGAAGTTTCTGATCTTGCAAAGGACAGCCGCTTAGTATGTTTTGCCCACTGGACGTTAAACTGCTGTATCTTGTGCCATATAACATAAATGGAAAATAAAAAACAAACCCAACCCTATCTAATATTGAAGCAATATTAAAGAGCTGATGTCAGGCTTCATACCTGTTACAGATAAAATAAGTGTGCAGTCTGTTGCACAGGCCTGACAACTCCTGGAATATACATACAGTAACAGCCTCAAGCAACATGAAGGAAACCTTAAATTAAGAGGGTGTAAGGAAAGGATAAACTCTTTTTTTTTTTTTTTTATTTGGGGCAGAGTGTAAACCTTATTTTTTGTAAATCTTTCCGATAATATTATAAGCCTTTTATCTTTATTGCCTGGAAAAGTGCAAATTTGTTGTATGTATATACTCACATAAACTGCTCAGTATGATCAGAATTTTCCTCAGTTTCCTAAGTAGCTGAATAAAGGAGATATACATACGTCCTTCAGCACTTTCTAGTTTACATTTTTGTATTACAAGTATCAGCTTTAGCAATAGCTGTTTGAGATTATCAGCAACATAGGAAAACTCTTCTGTTAATTCAGAAGTATCACAGTAAAATGCACCTCAGCACATCAGCTTGAGGACAATCTCATGTCCCTTGCTCTTTCCTATTGGTATCATTACTGAAAAATAATGTAGAAACCTTGATCATATTGAAATTGATGGGTCCTTTGCCATTGACTCCAACAGACCAAAGATTTTACCCAACGCAAGTAAAAGAAATCAGAACATGTTCACCAATGATTTGTTAAACAAGAAAAGAAAAGTTGCCAAATGCACAATGAACGTTTATTTTGACTTTCACGTCTCAGAAAACCCAGTCACGATGAAAGACTCATCTACTTACTTGCTGTTCAAAGTGAATGCGTATCACAGTTCAACGCATTTTATATTAATGAGGTTAATTGGCTGCGTTATCTGCAAACTAAATGTATTGTTAGCATTTTGGGCTTCTAAAATGACGATTAATCTAAACCACAACTTTTCTCAGAAAACCATCAGTTTCAACAGCACCTCCTCAGGCTTTCACACAGAACTCATGGAGCCTGTCTGAGCGCGGAACTGTAGGAACTGGAGCACAAGTGACCAGGTATACCACATGTCTAGGGCACACGTCCTAGTTACCTGGCTAATCCGTGGCAGGCTTGTCAGGTTACTGACCATCTTGTGTTCAAATTTTTCCTTAAAATGTTAGCAAGGCAGGGGGGAAAAAAAAGTCTGCTTTCTAGCACACTGAGCCATCTGGATATCTATGCTATGTTCTCCAGTTTATTGTTTTAAAGGCAGGGAGATTCTCACCATGAGCATTAACTTTAGGTTTCAGTCTGCATTATTCCTGCAAATCTCCTTTTACTTCCTATGGAAAAATAGTTTTGTAATTTAAATTGCTATTTCCTTATTAAGTCTGTATCCTCGTATGTACAAAAAATATCCAGCAAACTCTTTCTCATATTGGCCACAGAGTAAAACTTCAAATAACTATTGGCCATTTTATTTAAACTTACAGTTTATTCATACTTTTTCCTGCAGCCATCATTTTTACAGCGAGCACAGGATAGCAAGAATACAGTAACAATACAGGTAACAATACAGATAACAACACAGTATTATTCCTTAAAATCATTAGGACTTTTGTTGAAACAACAGAAATAGAAATACCTTGCCTGCTCCAGTAGATCCAGAAACAGCTAATAACTGTCCCTTCTCAATCTTGAAATTTATGTCCTGAAGAACAGGAGAGGCATGAAGGGGAAAATTACTGAAGAAGAGATTGTTGTCAGTGCTAGGAGCTTTGCTGTTGTTGTTTTCCTGGTTTGCTTTTACAAACAGCTCTCCAATTCCCTGCAACATACACAGATGTGTATTTGTATGTACATAAAAAATAAATAAAACATGCATACGCAGACATGTACATCATACTATGGACTTATGAAAACATATGAACTTACTTTTCTGATGTTACTTTTCCTATCTATAACATATGTATTATATTCTTAAATATATATATTTTTTATGTATTATACTTGCTCCTAAATTTGTGGACACAAATAAAATTTGCCTATTACAGAACTGCTTTCCAATGTTTATACATGCCACAGCCTGATTCTGTTTTCAGGCTGGCTTAAATCAGAAATAACTACTTATTACAGGCCTTAACACTTATTAAAAGGTCCCTTCCAAAGTTTCTTAACCATGGATAATTTGATATCATGCATTAGTTACTGAAGCCACTTAAACTGAAGGAGTGTAGGCTGCTCTTTTTAAAGAACACCAAGGCAAATATCAGTAAAAAAGATACACTCTGTGTTTTAATTTCGTTTGGGTAAAAGTACTAACCTCATCCCAAAAAGCTGTTACTTTGTCCAGCTCAACCCCAGTGGTTGTTAGATTATACTCCAGGGCTTTATATTCTTTTTTCAGCAAGAAATCCTAGAAACACCATGAAAGCAGATGAGAGGAAACAGTAAGGGACGATGGCCATATCACACAAAGCAGTACATATTTGCCAACACTGAGCACTAGCTAATATTTCTGATGGTGCTATTGCATTGTAGTGTCTTAGAGAGAGGCATAAATATAGCTTATAAATGTCTTTCAGATGCAGGAGATGTTTTTGAAACTAGCAATTCTTTCATTGCTAGTGAAAACATAACCATAAATATATGCAGTTCTGGTTTAGAAAGAATATCAAAACTTGGCATTTCCTTTGCTTTCCTTTGCCTTTGTATCAGGCAGTATCACCCCTCCGACCTTAATCCTTTTCAAACAAAGCTTTGGTTTTGGAGTAGGATGTGGAAGGTTGCACTCTGGTAAACAGTGAAACAAAGCAGCTATGTGCTGCTATCTCCCTATTCCAAAACTGCAAGAGATTAAAAGAGTTAGAATGATGTCTCTAGCAACAAAAAAAAAAAGGCAGATAATGATCCTGGACAGTGCAGCACTGAAGTAGTGTAATTGCAAATGACACAAGTCAGCAACCCAACACTTGTGTTACCTTCTGGGATAATACTAGGAAAAAAGAGTAAGCCTATGCTAATGTAGGCAAGATAACTTTTCTATTCCATGATTTTGTTGGTACCATCTCCTCTAAATTGTCTTTTTAAACTGTGTGGAACCAAGTAGGTCTATGTGGGCAATACAGTGGACAAACTAAGCAGATGGTAAGGGAGAAAATGAGTTCTTTACAGTAAACTTGCAAATTTCCCAAGTAGAACAAGCAGAAGGGAAAAAGCAGATGATTGAAAGGGCAGGAACCAAAAAACTGGAAGGCAAAACACACACAGTATATGCAAAAGAAGGAAATGATAGCTAGGCTTTCATAACAAAGGCAGTGGGGTCATCCAGTGGAGTTGCTGGAGCAGTGAGTCAGAGAAAGCACACTGATCCTGAAAGACTTCATGGTCTAGAAAACACGGGCCTAGCTACAGGGCAAATACAATAACCCAGGGGACATATCTGGCCCAGTGAACTCTCTAAATTGATGAGGAAATTAAATCAGAGAAACGTATGAGTGGTTTATTATTTTTGTTTATGTTTCGTGTGACAAGTAAGGGCATCAGTGTTCTGGGATTCTGTGCAGTCTGTCTATGGGGTCTATACTGACCCTGCCACAAAGAGATGATTATTTATGGATTCCAGAGCACTCACAGAGCTAATACCCCAAAGAAAAGCATTCAGCAAAGTGAGGGCAATGGTATGACAACTGGGCTTGCCAGTTCTGTGACAGGGCATTGGATACACTCTTCCAGGAAACAGGAGAGACAAGATACCTCCACTAATGCCCAGGGAATCTGAGAGCACAAGGACTGCCTACATTAGGACCCAACAAGGCATCCTTCTGAATGTCGAACAGAAAGGTTTATGGCTAGATTTCTCGAATTTTCTGCCCAGTTTAAAATCATAAAAATCCAATACCTGCTTCTTATTCTATATTAAAGTTCAGATTTCGGATTAAGATCTTTAACTTCCTTATTAGGTATTTTTATCACACTAAAAATAATAAAATGTATGTTTTACCAAAAAAACTATAAATATGTTAAAAAAAGCCTAAGATTTCACCCTGAAATAGAATAAGAATTCTCTTCCTGAGGAGTGATTTCAAAACACAGATAAAACAGATAGAGTTAATGAGAATTCACCTTGATTTGACTCTGCAGATAAGCCTCTCATGCTGGTATATGAGCAATTGATCTCAGTAGGTAAGGTAGGTAATAATTATTTGACCGGTACCTTAATTATGTTTAGTACTCATAATGAATGAGATGCACATTTGCATAAGATGCACAATCTCCTGCTGTTCTTGCCACTAATAGCTAGGAAAACAGAAGATCTGTGACTGCAACTACTGGAAGCTGTGCTATATATAACATACACTAATTTTGTATTTCCTTTTCTGAAGGAAAAACATCTCTTAAGCACCACAACTCATGATATATTTTTATTAAGTAAGTTCTTTATTCTGCAATGAGAGGAAATAACTAAATGCCACTGTTTCAAAAAAGGCAGTGTGCAGGTAGCATGAGACTCCTGTGGTTACGCTGCCTGGGGAACCATATAACAATATCAAGATTTATAATGACATTTCATGGTGTGTAGTCAAAGCAACATATAGTATATTTGGAAAGACTGCATAAATGCTGTGTGCTTTTTTTGATCAACTGACAAGATAACATGCTATAAAGAATTAGCTTACGTACTTGGGAAGATTTTATTGTATGTACCCTACCTGTATTTTGTTTATTGCTCCAATAGAGTCATACCAGGTCTGTACAGACCCGGGAAACTGCCTGGTCACTGTCATTCGAAGAACAATGCAGAACGAAATGGTGGTAAATATTTTTCGGAGAATAATTCCTTTAATCACAGCATATGGAAGCACAGCTAAAAACACCACAAAAAAGCCTGAAAAGAAGAAGGCTGAGCTGTTGAAATATCTCACATAAGCAGCTTTTCGGGTTAGCTTCAGTTCAGTTCTGTTAAAAAAACAAATACATATAATTAGTATAGGATTCCAGTTTACATCTTACATCTTACAAATATTTTGGATAGAACTGTTTGTAAAACAATTAACTCAGAGGCTCATTCATCCTTGTTATTTTCTAGGATTGCAGTTAAAAGCAAGATTCAAAACAATTTTTGGACCTAAAAAATAATTGGAGCCAAATTTTGGCACCAATGTTCAGAGATGTCAGACAAAATAACAATAATCTATGTCACGATTTAGATATCTCATAAACCACAAGCCTCTACAATTCCTGGCACAACCATCCTTAAGCATCTAATGCTGTGATTTATGACACACTCCCAGAAGCGTCATCTCATACCCATCTGGTCATCTAGATAGATAACTCCCCTAGAAATAAGATACTTTGAAATGCCAGATTTGCTATACATGACCATAAGAAAACTAAAGAGCTATCCACAATCCGATTATAGGGTCATCTCCTTTTGCAGGGCACCCTGCTAACAGCTTCATCCATGAATTAAGGTATCAGTTAACCTCATCTTGAAGAGGTGGAAGGCAGAGAGTCTGCTTTCCCCCTTCCTTTCTCCATAGAAGCTCAGTCTACGGAGCAGCTTACGGACTGCTGTGCAGTCAGGAATGCAACTGGTGATTACTCTTAGCTGCTTCCACAATGTCTATATATCTTACAGCGAGCTATTAAATAAAAAGAGAAACAATCTAGGGAGCGTAATTCATTTTCTGAGTTGACAGTCCTAACTCACAGTGCTGAAGCTTTCTATTGACTGCTCTCATTTTGACCCCATTCACTTCACACGCCCCAGGTGCCCTGCAGCTTAGCTTTGCCTAAACAGAGGCACCTCTGCTGCACTGAAAGAGCAATTGCTCTGCTGCAAGAGCAATTAACTGGGGCTAGAGATGGAGCTAGACCCCAAGGTGCCCATCCACTGGGTGAGTGCTCTAACTACTGGGATACTGTGCAGAAGTTCACAGTCACATTGGTGATGGTAATACCTGGTACTGCAAGGCTGAGGACCGTAATCTTTATGTGTGTTCTGGTATTAAGCCAGTGTGTGCATGCAACACCCATCCAGGATTTTGGAGCTGTGTGGAACGCCCTTTCAGCTCCACACTATGCATGCATGAGACTTCACGTGCATCCAGCATCTTACCAACTTTTGTCAGCCAAAGTGTTCTTAAAAGTCCCTGACAGAAAATCTCAGCCAGTTTTGGAGCAGGGTGCCTAGCACTTCTTGTTAAGTCTGTATTTCACAAGTGAGGCTTGAAGAAATTGGCCAGGCATGCAGGTCACCACCACAGTAGTAGCCACTGCCCTGGAGAAAGGGGCCTTTTAAGTCCCTCCAGAGCTTGTATGAGACTGTGGGTGGCAGCACTGAATAGGGATAACAAATATTTTTAGGCTTGGTGCTCATCCAGTCCCACACAAACACCTGGGTAGAAGCTACCAAAAATCCCCCCGGTGCTGAAGCACACAGCCGCTACTCCAAAGAGAGAGAATCAAAGCACTAACCCTTTTCAGTATGCTCCCAAGTACCAGCCACAAGCTGACCCAGCCACAAGCAAAAGTTCTCCAGAGATGGGTCTGTCTGTGATACAGGCTTGAGAGCTCTGTAAATTAAGCACTCATTTGGGACAGGTCTTGCTGATGCAATATGGGCACTTGGAGAGAGATGTAATGGACACTAAAAGCCTCGTGCATGTATAGAGCGTAGACCAGTGTATGTTTGGTTTTGAAGTGATGCTGCAGGAATCAGTACAAATATATGAGCTTGAGATTCTTTGCTTTATATAAAGATGTATCTTCTGCTGATAAACTATAGACACTTCCAACCTTGGACTTCACCTTCTCCAGTGCTATGCTATGGTTCAGGGGAACAGTTTGGCGTTGCGGTTTTTTGCTTCTCTGAATACATTGCATAGCCCTTAGGAGTGCAGGTACATTTATTCAGACACCTGTTACAAACAGTTATCACCAGTACAGGCTTCAAAGGGTGCACAGGAGACAGCCCGTATTAGTCCCTCTGAAGTGTCACAGTTCCCTGGGGGAGTTTGTCTACGGCACTGTTACACCTGCAGGATGGCCAGACCCGGCAGCTCAAGCCTACCAGAGTAAGGGCACAGGTCTATCTAGTTCATTAGAGTTGATTAAACTGGGTTGCATCAGAAAATGCCAGCATGTAGAAGCAGTTTGGTAACGACTGAGTTATAACGCCCTGTTGCTAAAATACAGGCACAGCTTCACACACAAGGTCTTGTTTCCTACCAGCTTAACAAGCCAACTGATTGCGAGGCCCTGCAGAGCTGGCTCAGCAAGCAAAATTCAATTGAAACTCTGACAGCCCCAGGTTGACCTGTTCTGGTGATGTCTTCACTAAGTGACCTGTTGGATCACTCAAAAAATATGGTATTTTGGTGCAGAGAAGTAGAAGAGAGATACTTAGATCTTGTAATATTGCTAGCATTCTTGTCTTTTAAAAATCCATGCATAATATAATAAAAATTGAATACCAGCATTACAAAATTCACTATAAATTATTGTAGAAAATATAGATCATAAAATGACAGTCCTTTTTCCAGGTTTCTGTGACCACCTTGTGGACTAAAATTTATTTAATTCATTTCTACAGGATTTGCTCACAAGACGTGGTCTCAAATTTCCTAAAAGCAATGCATGTGACTAGAGACACCAGGGGAATCCTAACCTGGTTCCATCCTCAAGCTGGAACTCCCGGCCTGGATTCAGACTGAGTTTTCTCTGATCGTTTACAGTAAATCATTACAAATTTTAAGATCTTCCTTATTCTAAAGGTAAAGAACACTTCACTTTCCCTGGATTATCTTTCAGAAAGCAGCTGAACAAAAAGGTGTTTGTGTAATAATATCGTTTAATCTCTTTTATTTACATGATAATACGACACTTATATTTCTTTTATTTTCTTTTATTTTCCCAATCACACACCTGGCACAGAATTTTAATTCTCTGTAAAGAACTAAACAAACATACGGGACAGCTTTAGTGCAGCATCACCCATCAATCAATATGTCACTTCTCCTCCCTTCCCCCAGGACTCCCTGTCAGTAATGAAGACCTCCGTCTCATAGCTGTCAGCTAACTAGGTTAGGTCTTTTACCTCCTTTTTGCTTCAGGTCTGGTAGTTCCAATTCAATCTCGATATTAAGTGAAGAAATAAGCATTATACAAGGCTATCTACAGACAATAAATGTTAATGCAATTGTGCAGGACGAATACATGAAGCTGTGCTACTTTAATCCTTTCACAGACTGCATGTAACATTTAAAAACAGCTTTATTGCATTTCTCAGAAAATGGCTGCAGAGGACTCACTGTTTCTTCCACCGCAGAATAGGAAAGTCTGTAAAGCCTTAAGTAATCACCATCACAAAAGGGCTTTTTATTGTAAGACGAGGATAGGGTTGGCCAGAAACAAACACAGATGCCACAATTGTTTTACCTGCGCAAGCTAACCACTGAAATATCATTATAACAAATGAGGAAGCAAATAAAAAAAAAAATCTCACCTCCATAGTGAACTTGACAAATTGGGAAAACACCCAAGCTGCAGTGTGGGAATTTATGGTTAGTTTATGGAGGATTAATATTTGTGTGCTTTACTTCTTAACTAACAAGACCACAGATGGTGTTCATAGACCCCTAATTTTTTTTCTTCTGAGCGCATAAAAAATTTGACTAACAAATGAGAACACTTACTCACGGATGCTTTCAATCATTTTTTCCATTGCATCTTCCCAACAATAGGCTTTAACTGATTGTATATTTTCAATTATTTCTGAGGTGATGACAAGTCTTTCATTGATCTTTCCTGCCCTCTTATTCCTACAAAGTAAAATGGCAGTAGGTCAATCTTCATCTTTTTCATCCTGTATAGTTAGTTTGTATCCGATTATATCTTATGAAAACACTTTCCTTATATGTCTATGCTTAAAATGTTTATTTTACCAGAATTATTATGAAGAATGTAAAAGGAATAATTAGAAACCTAGTAATTGTTTTACTAAGGAGAAAATACAAGCGCTAAAAAGAATAAATCAAGTCACTAACAAGGAGTTTTAATTCTACAAAGCATTATCACTATTTACTGCACATTAGACGTTTCATCTTGTTAAGTTTAGACAGCTGCTGCTAAATAAGTAAAGGCTTGTCCATGACTTTCCCAACACAGCCAACACTCTTTGGGCTCCTCTTTTGTAACGATGTAATAACTAGACACCCTTAATCAAGTGGTATAAACTTCTTAAACCAACGTGTTTCAGGAAAATATATTGAAATATTTTAAAACAGTCTCATCACCTGTATTTCATCATCATTTGTCCCAGCCACGCTTGGAAAAAGGCCAGGACTATTAGAAAAGCAAGTCCAGCAAATGCAGAAGCTTCTAACATATCCCAGAGCAGTCCCATCAGCAGTGCCACTTGTAAAGGTGCAATCCATACAAAATGAGCCAAAGCAAGACCCTGTGGAAGCCCACAGCAGAAAATAATAATAATACAAGTTACAGATGTGCTCTGAAAACTACATGAAAAGGAAGAAGTCATTAAAGTGACACTTTGAAAAATGTAATGAAGAATGGTACAAATATTTCCAGTAGTAAAACAAGTTTATAAAGGAGGATTTGTGATCCTGAGCACATAGCATTCTGGGTGTTAATTATAATGACAGCGCAGCAATACGTATACATTCCACACCTAAACTTTGATTTTTGTAAGGCAAAGTTCAATCTCAAATTGTCTCTTCGCTATGTACATGCATGAGGAAAAATCCCAGCTTTGTAAAAGTAAACAGAATTTGCCATTCATGCTGGCTTTTTCAACCACTGCAAGATGAGAAAAAAACCACAGAAGAATCTTCTGAGAGTGATTTAATCAGATATAGGAGGCAAATATTACTTTGGTGAAGAGATGACTGTTGTGTGAACACAACCAATTCAAAACAGATTGTTACCTACTTCAGTCATGTTCCTTCACATTGGAGAGATTTAGGACTGAATCCTGTGATAAGGCTGCACAGGGATCTATGTTACTGCAGTTACACAGCTGCAACGATAGGGCACTTGTCCTAGCTTGTTCAGCGCTAGCTGACATTGGTCTACATAGTAAATATAGTGCTTAAAGTAAATACACCCTACAGTTCCAGTCATGTGTCTACAGTCTCTCTGATCTTGCTTCTTTCGTAGGAAGCAAACGTTGTACTACCAATGGGCCAATTAAATATACATGCTGAACAGAAGTTCATAGAGTTTCTGGTCCCCAAAGCCATTAGCAGGGATTTACTTCTGTGTCTTTAATGAAAGAGAAGTTTTACTGGAGACGCTGGAAGTATTGTCTAAGATGGATGTGTTGGGAATGATTCCTAATAAGGTCTTACATCAACACTTATTCAGACTTTTAGGAAAGCAGGTAATAGTGGCAACAGGATGCTGAAGATCATCGCTTGTTCAATGGCACGAATGGACTGGATCACCTTAGTAAAAAGGTACGGTGGTCAGGAAAAGAGGATGGAAGGGTTGAACCAGCAAATTCTGACCTCTGTGAAACCAACTGCATAATCCAGAGGTTTCCTGGCAGGTTCTCACTGGACTGTAGAACAAGCATGTTTTTATGATATACCTGGTTTTTTGGTTTTCCTCTACTAATCAGCATAAGAGATAAAGGATGTCGTAAGTATCAGAACGAGCATTTCCATGACCACGTGCCAACACATTTTCTTAAGCTAGTGATTCATTTTATATCTACAGTGAGCACTCAGTACAGTCCGTCATTTATGCTCCTTCCTTCCTTAATATTTGTCATGAATAGCTTGAAGTATTGCATTTGCATTTAATGGATCACCAAGTGGATTAAACAACTGATGACGTACCTCATCAAATTTGTTCAGATTGTTGGAAAGAAGACTGACCAATTGTCCAGTACTTATTTTATCTAGAACTCTGCTTGAGAGTTTTAAGATCTGTAAAAGAAAACAAAACCTAGAAAAATGGCCATATAACTCATCCCCATAAAACAGAATAAATACAGATAAAAATAATAGGCAATGGTACAGTAGTATAAATAACAATTCACTTATCTGCTTATGCTATAGTCTCATTAAACTTGTTATTTATGTCACTTGAATTTAACATAGCCATTAAATTGCTTTACAAATATTGATTTATCGACTTAGTCCTTGCTTTCTGTTGCATATTTTATGTATATAGATATATATGCAAATGCAAGTTTTAATTAAGCATGCATGCTGTGTACTGCTGTGCATCCTCAAAAATCTCCTACTGTGCCTATCTTGACAAATATTTTTGAAAGATGTTTTCACAGTGAGCTTTATACTAGAGTAACTAACATGTTTGTTTAAATTAGGTGCTTTTGGTATTGGTAAAACTAAACACCTTTTTAAATCTTTGGATTTGTGAATATGTGATGCATCAGTATCTGTTGATTCTTCATGCTATAGAGATCTCACACAGTATCATTCAAAGTCAATCCCTTTTATGTTATATTTATTGTTTAAATTTTCACCTCTAATCCTCTTTTGAAAATATTCTTTGGCCACCAGCATATGTTATTCTTCCTTTGCAATACACATGCATAACAGGAGCACAGTGGTAGAACAATTAAGGCATCTCACCACATATCCAGCAAGTCTGAACTTACACAGAGGCTGACTTCAATCAAACCAGCTGTAGACGAGTATTTAATTCTTTGGACTTAGGAATCGGAGAGCTGTCAAAAGCTGATGTTAGCCACATTATTCTTTTGTGTACTTTCTGTTCCTTGACTAACAAAACTATCAATCTTTCAACAAACTGGCCTAAAAGTTACGTAGGCTACAGACAGAGGTTTGGCTTTGAGTGTAAATGAAACAATTACCTTCTTATAAATCAAGCTAAACATAGCTATCCTCATTTGCATTCCTATATGATGAAGACCAAATATAGCAGGGTGTATGAGTAGTGTTCTCACAAAGAAGAGAAGGCACAAGCCAATGCCCAGGTAGTAGGCTATGGATCTTTCGTCAGAGTTGTCTGGATCATAGGAAGCTATTATTCTTCCCAGCAGAAGGGGTTGCACAGATTTGGTGACTTCCTGCAAATGGAAACAAGAGAAAAATAATTTTGGTCAGTAGCTTGTTCATTTTTCTCAAAATGGTTCACATTTTAATTTCAAGTCCTACCAACTGAGATTTACAGCTTTATATCTTAAATGAGGAAGCCAGGTCTGTTTGCTCTGCAAACCACAAAAAGTTGCAGTAATTGCACAGGAAAACAGACAACTCACTGCTGTCTTAATCTGTGATGCTCCCGCAACTCCACCAAAGCAAATCTAGTTTGTAAATTTTGTTTGATCATTTTCTACAGAAGTGACAACTGAGATTAGCTTCCATATTTACTTTTCAGAGTTGTAATGGATTAGCCACATCATATGACTGAATCCAGTTTAGCAGGCTGGATCTCTGTTTTGGCCCCTAGGGAACAATTCTCACTGCACTTTACTGGACTTACAGGACACAGGAAGACTCAGAGCTCCTGAAATGAGCACCAACAGAACAACACAGTGAGGATATAGCTATCGCACCTCGAATACTGTGTTCAGTTTTGGGCCCCTCACTACAAGAAGGACATTGAGGTGCTGGAGCGTGTCCAGAGAAGGGCAACGAAGCTGGTGAAGGGCCTAGAGAACAAGTCTTATTAGGAGCGGCTGAGGGAACTGGGACTGTTTAGCCTGGAGAAGAGGAGGCTGAGGGGAGACCTCATCGCGCTCTGCAACTACCTGAAAGGAGGTTGTAGCGAGGTGGTGTTTGGTCTCTTCTCCCAAGTAACAAGCGATAGGACGAGAGGAAATGGCCTCAAGTTGTGCCAAGGGAGGTTTAGATTGGACATTAGGAAAAATTTCTTTACTGAAAGAGTGGTCAGGCCTTGGAACAGGCTGCCCAGGGAAGTGGTGGAGTCACCATCCCTGGAAGTATTTAAAAGACATATAGATGAGGCGCTTAAGGACATGGTTTAGTGGGCATGGTGGTGTTGGGTTGACGGATGGACTCGATGATCTTAGACGTCTTTTCCAACCTTAATGATTCTATGATTCTATGAAAACATAAAGTAAATGGAAAGAGCGACAGAATAAAAGTATAAACAATTTGGATCATCCTACCCAACAGTGCTAGAAATTGTATCCAGGATTGTAACAAGACCAGGATGAGAGGGCGTAAATGGTAGGGGAGGCAAGTTTAATAGAAGTCCCAGAGAGAAGCCAGTCCCTCCTGCACTGGCAGTCCCAGAACTTCCCATCCTGGGATGAGCAACATGGTAGAGGACGAGAGCAGGAGAGGAAAAAGAGGGGGTATCAAACTGCTAAACTGCAAGGCATCCAAATGATCTGCTATAGCCCTGACTTTATCTTAGCCTGCTATTACATTTGTCCTCAGCCTCCTTTTCTGTTGTAATTAAACCCCACTAGCGTTACCTCACCTTTGCCTTCCGTTTCCCTTCACACCCCCATTGTTCTCATACTTTCACTCCTATAAGCTTATTCTTTTCCATTTCTGCCTCTTGCTCCCTCTTTCCTTCCCCAAGCCTTCCCCAAAAACTGCAAAAATCATCGGTGTGCTGTGGTCTAACAATTTGCTTCACCTTCTGCATAAGCTTCTGAAGGGTACGTATGTGCTCCTTTGCTTCATTGTTATATTCAGTGTAAAAATACTTAGTGCTAAGAACTTTTATGTGTGTCTCCTTATCCTTCTTTCTGTTGTGTCTCAGCAGAAAGCATCTGATACTTCAGAAATAGCAAGAAACTTTTGAATTCTTTTTTGTACAGATGTGTTAAATTCTGCCAAAAAGTTATTAGTACTTTCCTG